TGGGACGGTGCTCCTGTTCAATTTGTCCAACGCGGAGTGCATCCAGGCCATCATTATCTGTAGAACTCCTGGTTAGGGCATGAGCTCTCAAGCTGTCATTCTGTATTTTTAAGTTTCACCAATGTCACCGGGATCTATTAATGGCTTTTGAATTAATTAAGTAATTAATGGATAGCACTAGGATCTCTAAACATGCAAATTTCCAAGTTAGGTAAACTTGTGACCTCTGCCTGGGCCTTGATGTCTGTGTGGCTGTATTAGCACTTGACTCGGTCTTTTGCATTGTAGGACCATAGTCATTGTTTAGGAATCATTTGGTTTTTTGCAGTTCCTATGGCTGCTACAGCCATGACTCACTCCTAGGAAAATTACAGGCTCTGGAGTGAGAGAAGAAACAGCCCTCCCAGTACAGACAGCTAAGAAGAGGACAGCTAAGAAGCAGGGATGTTAAACCCCATCAATCTGACTTGGAGGGACGGATCTCGGTTTTTCTGTCACGCTTTCCTACAGCCACACTGCCCATTGCTTCAGGTTAAGGGCACGTCAACCATGCTTTTCTGACAGTACTTGAGTCTTTTACTAGAAACCCTAGATTTTACTGACGTCATGAAATCAAAGATGGTTAGAGTTTTAAGAAGTCTTTGAAACATTTTAGACCAATCCACTTATTTAATAGGTGAGAGGACTGGTGGCCAGAGTTTAAAGGACTTGCATTAAGTCACACAGCCTGTTTAGTGGCAGCAGGGCCACCTAGACCTGGATATTGAATGCTCAGCCCACTACCCTCGCAAGGACACAGCTGTGCTCAAGCTGAAAAGGTAGAAAAAGTCATCAAAGGCAAATGCACATCAGCCAACGCTGGGGTAGTAATCCAGAGTCATTTACATTTCCCTGTACGTGTACAAATTTCCGCTGTGTGTACATTGCCCCTTTCAGGCCCAGGCATGCACGCACTTGAAAGCCATTCAAAAGTGCATCCATATGTTTGTAAATTAAAGCCTGGGGGTGGCACGCTGACCCCCAAACCCTAGCCAAAGTCCATTTCTTATTACACAAAGTAAGTCACACTGTTTACATCAGCCCTGTGGTAATTCACTTAAACAATAAATTTCAAAACCCACTGAGCTATTGCTGGCGGACCTTAGAGCGCTCCCTTTCTGACTTCTCCGTGCATTTACATTAAAAAGGAAAATTTACTTTCCAGTCAACACACCATTTCTTTGTAAAAAGGAAACTTTTTAAAAAAAATGTAAAAGAAAGGCACTTTGTAAAATGTATACAAACCTCTTTCTTTCTCTTCTACTCTAAGGAGACAGGGAGTTACTGAAGGCAGGGCCAATCCTTTCCGAAGCGAAGGGCAGCGGCAGGCCGCCGGCGGGTTTCCGCCACAGCCTCCAGCCGCATGTTAGCTGATAGGATTCTCTGATTCATTTGGGCCCCTTTGGGAAAAGGAGGGGAACTCCTCAATTATTTACAGGTGCTAAGGAATTGAACCACTTTGGACTAAATCAGTGAAAGCAAGCTTTTAGTCCTCCGCTGCCTACCAGGACTGGCCTTAGGCACTTAGGAGAAAGAAGGTAAATATCAGTGAGGAGGCTGATAGGAACTTGTGCTCATGGTGAGGTGCCTAACCCCCACTTGTAAAAAACGGACCTCGGGCATTTTGCAGTTTGGGACATGAGCTTCCATAAGCCACCCATTGGCTATCCTGTTTCCATGTGCTTTGTAACATGAATATTTAGACGTTTGTTTATAAAAATAAGACTTTCTGTCATTCAGAGCATAAGCACAGCTCTGTAGTGTTGGTTGGTAATCCATGAAGGAAAAAACAAAACAACAACAACAAAACAACAACAAAAACAAGAATAGGATCAGCAACCAGATGTAAGAAAAGATAGTTGGGGCTGTTGGACTCAGCAAGGAATAAGCATGGATTGATTCAGCAAAAGATCATTTTTCTAAAAATTAGAGCCACATTTAATGTCTTAAAAAAAATCTTATGCCTTTTCCCTCTATATACATATTTGCACATAATCTTAGACTATAATTCTGTACCTACATAATTCATAAAATGCATGGGTAATACGTAAGAACCAACTGGAACTGGTGATTTAAAAGGAAATACAAAAAGCACATCACTGAAGAGTACTTGTATTTCTATGACGAAGGGCAATTATTTATTAGCTTAATTAAGATACAAGGCATTGGTTAAATTATCTTGGCTAGAAAATATTCAGTGAGTCATGGAATCAAGGAGTTGGAGATTAAAAGGACATTAGAAATTATTTTGGTCCAATATTTCCTTCAGAGGAAACTGAGGCCCAGAGAAGGAAATTGCTCTGTGTAAACGGACATAGGTAGGACTAGAACCTGGGGCTCTTGACCTTCGATATGTATCCTTCCATTCAACTAGCTCTTTCCTTGATAAAAAAAAAATTCTTCCCCTGAAAAAAAATTAAGTGCTAATTGACCAAGAAACATAATCTTGGCTTGGTTTAATGAGTGGCTAATTGGTGGATGTTTTTTTTTTTTCCCCCCAGGGATTTAGTTCAAGTCGAGTTTTTAGCCATAATATTTTTGTTCATATATGCCAAAATCAGATTAGTTTTTAATTTTCAAGCTAGCAGATTGCTGTACATAGTGGAGAACAATGGACTATTTGGGGAAAATTTAAGTCTGTGTTGACGTTGAAGGGTGGAGTTTTTGGTCAATGCTACTCAAGGTGGACTATATCTCTTAGCCCTCTTGGACGCTGTGCATAATTTTGCAGGCCATTCTCTATCATTATGTGAATCTTAAACTACTAATAGATTGTTTAAAATTATTTATTTTTTTTTAGAGAGAGGGAAAGAGAGAAATATCGATGTAAGAGAGAAACATGAATTGGTTGTCTCGCGTACTGCCTCATCTGGGGACTGAACCTGCAACCCAGGCATGTGCCCTGACTGGGAATTGAACCAGTGACCTTTTGCTTTGTGGAATGATGCCCAACCAACTAAGCCACACCAGTCAGGGTCTACTAGATTTTTTAAAAAATTATGCCTTTTCCTTATGTTGTTCAGTTAAGTCAAACAGACTTGACTTGTACTTTCCAAGAGAGGCATTACCATCCACTAAAATAACCTTTTCATGCATGTGTGCCATCTGAGGAACTTAGTACAATGCAGCTCTGAATCACAGGTCTAGGGCGGGGAGGCTGAGATTCTGCATTTCCATGCAGCGCCCAGGTGATGACCATGCAGCTGGTCCTCAGACCAGACTTTGAGTAGCAAGGATCTAGTAGGTTGAATGCACTTGGACAACTTTTCCAAATGGTCCCTTTACTCTTACAATGTTTATGTAATGGGAGAAATAGAGCCTCAGATCTATTCCGTTTTTAATTCTGGAAGCCCTGTCAGTGTGTGAGCATAAAGAAAGGATTTTCCATCAGGTGAAAAAAACAAAACAGCAAATCTAGAGGGAGACAATTCATGAGTCATGGATGCTATCTTTGAAATGGAGAGCCAGGCTTTTGACCCCTCCCGGGGAGCCTGCCCTTGGAACTGACTCGGGGACTCTCACTACAATACGCTGGCCTTTGCAGCTGTTCCCACCACTCCATGGAGGCTGTTTCTTCAGGATTTTATTTGGACACTTCTGACGCGAGTGCTGTCTCTGCCTCCGCCAAGATCTTGCAGATGGACCTACTCCAAGGAGATACTAACTCATGGCTTTGCCTGAAACATTGTTGCTGCCAACAGGGCTCAGAAAAACAAAGCAAAAGCAACCCCCTCTCTCTAAAACTGTATGTTAGGTACTGCCATTCTTCTCTCTATGGCGGCTTCATGAATATTTGCCCAGAGAAGAGCAAAGCCCCAGATTAGCCCTAAGTCACAGGAGAAGTATTCATTTCTGTCTGTGGAGAGTCCTAAAACTCGAGGTTGGTGATGGTGGTTTAACATATCCTGGAGACAAAAGAGATAAAACGATACTATGCTGTAGTGGAAATTGAACATTGTCATCCCCTTCACATCCCTCAGTGGGGTTTGGTTGGTATGGCATTTACTCCACAAACAGGGACCGCATGCACTGTTACGTACTGTAAGTACTCACTACAGCCTCGTCGCAGAAAATACTGTACCCACTGAATACGTAAACAGCTGTTCTGGGAAGATAGAAAATACTCTTTTATTTTGCCTAAGTGGTAGAAAAATAGTCTTCAAAAATACATTGTTGAGTGTATGGGTTTGTATTAAAGTAGAATTTGTATGTACAGTAAGGCAGTATCTCCAGTAGCATGCTGCTATGATTATCTTTTAAATTAAAAGTTAGTCTTTTCAGATTTTTTTCACTAAGAGACGACTAGGGTGTATAATAAATTATCTATCATACTGAAATGAAGCAGGAAAACATTTAGGAGGATTCACCACATCAAACTCATTTGCTTCTTGTGTAAGAAAATTTCACTCTCCAAAATTATATTCTCTAGAGGCTTTAGAATACCAAGAAGGAGTTCTAAACTCCTAAAATCCATGCTTAACAAATTCAATCTATTAAGAAAAAAAGGGAGGCATAATTTTAACCTGCATATTAGCAATTTATCACAAAGGTACTAAGAAGTGATGTAAACAATTTGTGAGGTGTTCCGGAATGCATTCTTTCTTTAAATGTGTTGTGTTTGGTTGATCCTAACCAAATGAAAGAGGCGGACAAAGGTTAAGCAATTGGTTTCCAGGAGAGGTTTTCACGACAATGTCCTCATCTACCACCTTCCTGTGACGAACTAGTTTGATTGTTTCATTTGCCCCTGTCAGGTACCACACCATGAAGGCCTTTCCCAGAGGCCGTACCTATTGGCATTGTCCCTCAAGCATACTGAGCCATGTGCTTTTATGCCACAGAACGTGCAATTTTATAACTAATGGCAAAAAGCAAGTCTACAAATCACAGGAAACAAAATGATCTGTTCGGAATCAGCTGTTGGGGAAAGACGCAACTGGTCGAACACGGAGCATGAAAAGGAGTGAACCGTGGGTTCTAGTTGTGCCATCCTCACCCCATTCTCGAGCCTTCTTTAGCAGAGGACATGGCATGGACACTGTAGTATTACCTGAAGAAAAATCACATTTTAAACAACCATTCTGTTCATTGAGCTGTCACTGAAAAGAGTGCTTTAAGCACACGGGGTCCAGGTACTCAGACCCCAGCTGGAGACCGAAGCTACTTGGGGCCGCGGTATGGGAGGCCACGTCTTTCTCGCCTTGGTTATCTTGCAAGGATGGCGGAGCTTCCTCAGCCGGTTCTTCAAACGAAGCCAGGTTTTGAGTGCTCACATCCTGCACTAACACCAGGATTTTGCTATCTATCACCCTGGCCACCTTAGTATACTCCTTACTGGTTGCAGGAGCACCAGGCTTCTCTGTCAGGTTGCTGTTCTCTTTTTTTTTGGGGAGCAATGATAATGCTCCATCTTTGCTGATCTTGTGAATCTCCACATAATCCAAGGGTTTCACAGAGATAAAGGGGATTTTCTCCTGGGGCAGCCGCCGTGGGGCGTCTGGGTCAGTCTTGGAATGAAAACTTTCCCCCTCTCTCTGCTCTGCTGCCTTTTCCTCCCCTCCAGTCTCAGTGGTTTCCAAGGATCGCAAAGCATGATTTTCTGTTTTGTCCAGAGGAGCGGCCCGTGCACCTGGCATGCCCATGGCCAGTTTACACACATCAGCGATGTTGTGGTAAGAAGACATGGGGTCGTGCTGGCTGGGCAGCTGCGATGAAGGCCACGTTGAAGATCTGGGTCCACTGGCATAGGAATAGGGGATTTTGTCTTCCAAGCCTGTGTTCTGAGGGTCGCAGGTGTAGGTACAATTTATTTCAGGATTCTCTCGTTTCTTGATGCCCTCAGGAGTATGGAATATAGATGGATTTTCCTGGAGTTCCTTATACTTTCTGGACAAAAGGGAAGGGCTCGTATAGCTGTCCTGGCCAGAGTCACTGTAGGGATCCAGGTGTTTGGGCTTCATCATACCTTGGTCGGAGTGTTCTTTTGAATTGGCCGACATCAGCTGCTGGTTCTCGCTGTCAACAACTTCCAAAAGCTCCACCAGCAAGTCCTCACAGTCAGAAGGGAAGTCTTGGCATCCCAGGGCACTCAGTAGTTCTTCAGACTTGCCCTTCTAATAAAACACAAACACAAGGAGAAAAGGCCCTTAGTTTGAAAACATTCCAAATCAGCCTGAAAGCCCAGCCTGTGTTCATGACCATGGGCAGGTGGATGTGGTAAGAGCCTAGCAGAATTTCCCACACTTCAGACCTTTGTGTACCAGGCCATCTTTAAGCACCTCCTGGACTACTCACTCATATTTTTCTCTAAGTCGACTCATGATTTTAACTTTGTCTCTCTCAGCAATAATGATCAGGAATTTAATGGGCAAGTAGTATATGCACAGATAAAAAACATACAACTGTTAAATAAGAGAAGTTTGTGCAACACCTCAAATCGCTATACTCAGGCCCTGGCCAGGTTGCTCAGTTGGTTAGAGCTTTGTCCCAATACCCCAAGGTTGTGGGTTTGATCCCCAGTCAGAGCACATGCAGGAAGCAACTAATGAAAGCATAAATAAGTGGAACAACAAACCAATGTTTCTCTTTCTCTCTCTTTAAAAAAATTAATAAATAAAAAAGAATGAAATGATAAAACCAATATACTCATACATGCGATCAGCTCTTTGGACTCGGTGGCTCTGATGCCTGGTTCATGGTCTCCTAACCTCCTCCACTACTTCCTAGAGTCTGGAAGTAGTAAGTTGCTTCTTATTTCTTCCTTCTCCTTTCACCTCCTCCTCTTCTGACGTCTCCCTTCCTTCCCCTCCCTTCTCTGATCCTACTTTTCTCTCTCCTCCACTCCATTTCCCCTTTCTCCTGCCCCCTCTTCCTGCCAATACATATTTTCTCCTCCTGCTCTCCCTCTCCCTCTTCCTTCTCCTTCTCTCTTGTTCTTCCTCCTGCCTTCTTCTCTGACTTTCCACTCGTCTTCCTGAGCCTCTGACTTAAGTCAGGTGCTGGTGCCTAAATCTTGGCTTTATCACTCATTAAAGGGTATTGACGTTGAACAAGCTTCTCAATGATCCGGTTCTCCATTTGTAAAATGGGAATAATAGTGCTATGTGAGAGGGTTCTTTCAGGACTGGAGGTAATATGACCGAGAAAACAAAAACCTTTTTCTTTGACACAAAAAGCAGTTATTTTATCATTAAGTCTCTGTAGCTACAAGGTCCAATAGACAATACTTAATTTAGTTAGCTAAGATGTTCATGCTGGTTCTGTAAAGGATAGTGGTATAAGAGCACTGAACCAGGAGCCCAAATTCCAGGGTCCTAGTCCCTGATATGATATTTGCAGTCAAGGAGAATGCAGCCAAGCCAAATTCCCTGGGACTCGCTTCTCACATTCTTAGACTGTTAGTCTAGCAGTGGCTGGGCTACTTGATATAATGTGCAGGTAATTGCTTTTACATATATCAGCGTTAGACTTAAGGTCAAATTGAAAGTATATATTTCAACCTGCAGAGAAATTTAAAATGTTCTAACCCCTCTTGTCATTCAAAACACTTAAATGTAATTCCCACTTCAATCAGCCTAGCTGGGTCCTGGTCAATAGCAGCCCCGTTGCACTGATCCAGCCTCACCTGAGCACCCAAACAGGCAACAGCTGCAACCAGGTATTTTGTTGCTATGGCCTGATGGGAAGAAAACTCAAGTCGAAACTTTCATCAAAGTATAAAGGGGGGGATGTCACAGGTCCCTCTTTTGTGACAAAATATTCACCCTTTAAAAATTGATTTTTTTGTGCAAATTTTTTATGTCTGTGCTTATGAATAGACTGGTAATTCTAGCAAGCATTACTAGGTGCTATCCCGTTTTCTTGGCTTTCTCTCTTCTTTCTAAGATGTCTCCGAGTAAGTACCCTCATGCCTCCCATATCTTTCTCTGAAGAGGAGGGACAGTGGGGCCAGGTCCACCTGATGGGGACTGTGTGTGCCTGTGTAAAGGCAGACATTACAAGTCAGTGCTTCATGACACCTTCTCCAGCTCTGGCACTTACCTCCAGCAGGTGAGTATCAAATCCTTTTATTTTTGGCCCAGGAACTGGTGGAAGGATGCAGGTCATCATGCTATAAAATAATTTGTGAGATAGGATAAATGGCTCGTTTTCTCACTTTGTAATTTCTAAAAGATTGATATTATCTGCTACATGGACTATGGTAAATAGGACTTAAACTTCTGGGCTACATGAAACTGACAATCAATGGCGAAGACAATAATTATAGAAGCCAACATCAACATTAGCTCTGGCTAACAGAGGAGGCTGATTTGCATTATTTGCACACTTTGCTTCTCTAGATTTTAGCTGCTTTTGACAGAATTTTACTGTTTCCCAACTGTGAGCTTCAGTTTGATGGAAAGAGCACCAGCTTCAAACAAGTTGATTCTGTGACTTTTATTAGCACTAATAAGAGACTTTTCTAAACGGGTGAGCACACTGTAGCCAATGGCTAAAATCAAGTGCTTGAATTATGTGTAAGTTTCCATTTTCTCTGTATTGCCTTTTAAAAAAAATCATTATCCCTGACAACCACAACTGGGAGGAAGGTTGATAGACAATGAAGTACCTATAGCCCTTCAAAGCCACTGCCCAGACCATAATCAAACAGATGACAACAGAAAGAACAGCCACAAAGATCCACACGGTGGTATCTGTATTGGTGATATCTAAAAAGAAACAGCCAGAAAGCCTTGATCACATACAGTATCATTAAATACAAGCAAACAAACAAAACTAACAAATACAACTTTTGAACCTAAATTCCCCTGCCCCTCCCCCCACCTATACCTCTTTTGACTCAAACATCAATCCAGAGTAATGTTAATGATGGGTTAATTTTTCCAATGTTATTAAATGTGAATATGTTGCATGTATTTTAAAGTGCACTTTTCCAAAATCCTTTTACATGTTATTTTATCTGATACTTAAAGAAGCAATTTAAGAGCATACAGTCAATTGCAGTAATAATGAAAGGTAGCATAGTAAGTTCTTACTAAAAGCCATCAATAGTGTTAAGCCCTTTACATACATTGCCTTGCATGTAAAGATGTGACTCCATGAGTGCTTACCCATTGGTATGTAACTATAAAGTTGTAGTCTGGGATTTGAATTCAAGCCTTTGCTGCCTCTAGACCCTATGCTTTTAGTTAGTAGGAGCCTGGGCTGAACAGGATGCATGTGAGCCTTATGACCCACAGTTCAGTGCTCTTTCCATTGTGACAAACCAGTGCAAACCCTGATACTCTGGCTAGGCAGGTGGTCACAACTGCTAAGTTTTGCCATTTGATTCTGATGAGACTTCTAACTGCACTGAACTTCAGTTTCCTTGCTTTTAATTCTTAATGGCAATTATAGCCTTGCTGAATACCTCAGAGGGTTTGGACAACTAAATAAGGTAAAGACTTTGTAAACCACGAGGTATTTTAGAAATGCAAGATGAAGCGTTCTCCTGTGGAATATAAGCCACCATGTTTGATGACACTCAGTTAGAATTTAGTGCCTCTCACATCCTGTGCCTTGACTGAGAGGCCATCATGGAATCGACATCAGAGACTGAAAATCAATTCAGTTCATGCCTTTAAGATGGGATACCACCTTGCAAATTCTGGGAGAACTGGCTTATGACCTTGACTCAATGACAGGGATGGGGCAGATGGGGAGGGCAAAATGACCGCCAAGCCTCTAAGACACACCAAGCCCACATCTGCAGCTTCATCCTGGAACCCAGTCCTCGCTGACAGTGACCATGGGGCCCTGCTACATCTCCAAGTATCTTTGGGGTGGGTGGTGAAGTCATAACCCCCGTCTACGCGTTCCTCTGGCTAAGGCTCAAGATTGTTTCTTAGTCGTTACAACATGCAAATGTACTAAATTCATTCTTTTCTAAAAATATTTAAGGTTATAAGCAAACAGTAGTCAAGACACTCACCACTAGGTATCTCGATGGAATTCTCTGGGCCCCACTCACTCCAGAATCCATGGTCAGGCTTGCAGCGAACCTGGACAAGGTATTTCTGTCCTGGATATAAGCTGAAAATCTTAAACTGCATTTGCTGCCCAGCAAAATGAGTCTAAGGAGGAGCAAGGAAAACAAAAGTCACTCTGACTTGTGTTCTGAAGAAACAAACTTTCCCTTAGATAATAAACTATTAGAAGAGTGAAGCTGGACCATCAGATGCAGACACCGCCTTGTCACCATTGCGCCTTTCACAGCCCATCCCTTTTCTCTCTTCAACATTGTTCAAGCCTAAATGAACAGGATTTCTACCTCTCCACTTGGTACTCTATTTCAGAAAGACAAATATTCTGTGCCCTATCCTCTGCCTTCTACATTCTACTTTATGGAAGGTGACCAGTTAATAAAATTGTATAATTGTTATTTTATAAACCCTAATGAAATAATTGATTCAAGGATTACTCAAGTAAATCCACTAGGCAGAAGAGAACTGGGCGTCATGTATGTTGAAGGAATAGGACCCAAAGTAAATGCGACTTTACAGTGAAGGCATCTGGTTGTGATTGCCCTGACCCAGGGGTCAGTTTTAGCATCATTTATGGTAGGTCAACCAGATGGTTTGTGTCTCCTAACATGATGCAATATGAAGCAATAGAATATTACCTCTGAAGTATTCTTGCTCAAAATTGTTCAGCCTGGATCTAATCAAGACTTTAGAGCTAATGGCTGGTTACAGGAAATATAGGAACAGAGAAATTAGCTGAATGACCTCTCAAAGAACTAATTGGACAAATGCAAAAGGTAGGGCTTTCTGTGGGACAAGGGGCCTCATCTCCTGAGCACATTGAGACCAAAGGAACATAACTACCAGTCACAATGTGTGGTCCTAGATGGATTCTGGTTTGGACAAAGTAGCTGTTAAAGATATATATTTCTTTGGAAGCAACTGGGAAAATTAAAATATGAATTGGCTATTTAAATGATATTAAGGAATTTTAATTATTTTTCTATGTGTGATATTATTTTGGCTATGTTTGAATTTTTTTTTAAAAGACATATACTGAAGTATATAAGAATGTAATATCATAATGCCTATAATACACTGTGTTATTTCTTTACAATGAAATATCTTAAAATGAATAAAAATGCCACTGACCATTGACTGGTTACTCTTAAGATTTTTTCCTTCCACTTAGTGCCATTTAAGTATTGTCATAGGTATCTAGATCTAAGATGTCCTGAGGGAGATGAGTTGGAAACCTGGTGGAAGAGTTTGTTCCATGTGAAGAAAGAATTCGCCTTGGGAGATCTGTGAAGATGGAACCCCAGCAATCCCAAGGGAAGGGAGAAGGCCCCTCCACCTCAGGGTGGTCACATCAGCATCAGGAGGACAACATGATGGCCCAATAATTAGGAGAAATGACCTGTTCCCAGTAGCGAGGGCTGCACTTTGCCAAAAGATATTGTTCCTTCCCCAAGCTGCTGGTTGACTTACCTCCCACTCATCTGCTTTCTTGGTCTTTAATCGAATTTCGTACTGAAGTGTGAGCCAACCAGATCTTACGTCAACCTGGGTGGGTGGAAACCATTTTATCCACAAATATGGTTTTTGGTCTTCTGGATATTTTATTTCCAAAGTCAGGTTCACAGGAGGGTCTGGTTCAACTGAAAACAGGAAAGAAACCCTGTATTTACTGAAGGTGATATTTGAACACAGAACTACATGGCTCACTGTTTCATTCCACCATGATTATGAGACACCTTGTATTTGATGTCAGGTGCTGGTCCGCAGAGTTGGGAGCAGGTTGGAACAAGGGAGATGCATAGGATGCAAAGTTTAAGGACATATTAATGGCCAGCAAGGACATGAAAGAATTTTAATGTCATTAGTCATTCAGGAAAGGCAAATCAAAACCATAATGAGATATCATTTCATACCCACTAGGATGGTGGGGATTCAAAAAATTAAAAATAACAAGTAAGAATGTTGGAGAAATGGAAATCCTGATATGTGGCTGGTGGGAATGTAAAATGGTGCAGACACTATGGGAAAAAGTCTGGAAGTTACCCAAAGGATTAAACATAAAATTACCATGTCACCCATCAATTTCATGCCCTGGCCAACATACCCAGAAGAAATGAAGGCAGGCATTCAAAAAAACAAAAACGAAAACACAAAAATGAATATTCATAGAAGTACTATTTACAATAGCCAATAGGTGTAAACAGCCCGAATGTCCATCGATGGATGGATGAACAATATCCATAGAACGAAACATTATTCAGCCATAAAGAGGAAAGAAGTATGTACTGATGCATGCCATAAAATGGATGAATCTTGGAAACGTTATACTAACTGAAAGAAGCCAGATACCAAGGCCACATGCTATAGGATTCCATATATGCAAAATATCCAGAATATGCAGATTTTTAGAGACAGAACGCAGATTAGCAGTGCGGGGGTAAAGGAGGCTACCTGGAGTGACTTCTTAATGGGTATGAAGTTCCCACTTGGGGCCATGAAAGTGTTCTGGAAGTGGTTAGTGGTGATGATTGCATAAAATTGTGGAGGAACTAATACCCCTACATTGCATACTTTAAAATGGTTACAATGGTGAATTTTATGTTAGGTGTATTTTACCACAATAAAAAAAAAAATTAAGGAGGCACTTACTTTCAGATTCCTTCAAGTACAAGCCTGGGAGTGCCTCAAACATGAGGTGCCTAAGGTGCCTGCTTGCCTTACCTTTGTCTTAGCCTTGCTGCTTAGTAACACTTTCTCTCTCCATTTATTACCTTCTCAAGTCACTCTCTGCATCAGGTGTCATAAGAGTGAGAGCTATAGTGTTCTTGACATTGTAACCTACCATCACCTACAAAATGAATGTTAGAAAACTTGCCACTAACCCCAATGCTTCCATGCTACAAAGTAAATACCTAAGAAAGATTATTTTATATGTACTTACCAAACAAACATCAGTTATTCTATATAAGTTTTAAGTTCAACACAATACTGAGAAATACCACTGATAAAAAATATCATACAAAAATCCATGTAAAATGTCCAGGGTGAATTCTTTAAGGCAGTTTCTCAACCTTGGCATTCTTAGTATTGTGGATCAGACAGTTCTTCATTGTGCAGGCCATCCTGAGCACTGTGGGATGCTTAGCAGCCTCTCTGGTCTCTACCCATTAGATGCCCATGATATCCTCATTCCCCTCCCGGGGCTACAGTGATAAAAAATATCCCCTGCCATTGCCAAATATCCTGTGGAAGGCAAAATAGACCCCAGTCGAGAATCGCTGCTTTCCACTGATACAGCAGCTGCTTATTTTAGAACTTCTCTTGCTTTCACTGTTTTGCCCTCAAATACTATTTTAATCTTTGAGGGCGAGGCAATTCAAGAAAGAGCCGTGAAAAAGAAATCACTTGGCATTTAGCATCTTAAAGACTTCATATCTCAAATAAAGTAATATGACTGAAATTCATTTTATCCCTACTTAGCAGTGGGGTTACTTTTTGGATGTTCCTAAAGTAAGATTAAAGTCAGTTCTGACACCCATGCTCATTGCGATGATTTGCTGGGGGTAGAAAATATCAAGTGTGAACCAGCTGGTGTTGGAAGCTTTTCAAGGGTCAACCACTGCTAACATGAGCATGAGATGATATGCAGGTGAATATGTGAGACTCCTAGCCTAATATTTGTTGTCGGGTAGATTTTAGCTAAATCGGGAAGTTTTATACAACCTCGAACCTGATCAGTTTCTCTTTAGATTATTATTGAAGAGGAGGGCTGACCCCAGTGCCAGCCAACCCATCTCTGGTCCTAAGATTCCCTTTGTCATCCCTGCTAAACCATACAGGCCACCGCAGTGATGCCTAACTGACCTGCGGCTCAACGTTAATCATCCAGAGCAAGAAGCAGCTCTCAGGTTGACTTTGTTTTGCTTTGCTAATGATGTTTCCAAGCATTGTACTTGTGATCATGGCTTTTGGTCTGCTGTTCAAGTAGCACTCTTAACTCCCCACATTCTTTATTTTTAAAAGGAGAGTTCCAGTTGCTAAGAAGTATATGTGCACTGAGAATTAAATTTGGACCACACAGCTGGAGCTAGTCCTGTGGGTGCAGAAGCAGACAGACTGCTTCTAGGAGCTGCTCTCCTATGGAACAGCTCTGTCCTCCAGGCCAAGGAGAAAAGAAATCCCAGCTTGCCAAGGGGGAAAGGGGTGTGGTTGCAGGAGGAGGGCTGAAGGGCAGGGTTGGTGAGAGAAGCACAAATAGAACATTCCTACTGGGAGCAAGGAGATGGGAAGAAAAGTCAAAGGAAAACACAGAAACACAAGGACCCCAAATGCCAGCCTTACTGTCATGAATGATTGAATAAAAATTATTTAAAGTACTCAATTGGTGAGAATATTGTGAATTTTCTCCTCTTTTTTCTTTTTCTTTCTTTCTTTTTTTTTGGTGATTCATCCATAAGCCAAGAAGACTCAAACTGAGTTTGATAATTGGTAGATCCATAATGGAGTAACACATTCCTCACCCATTGCTCTTCCCCTTACCTACATAAGTCACATCTACATAATGTGGATCCGAGATGCTGCTTCCCATCTGGTTTGTGGCATTTACTGTGATGATGTACATTGTCCAAATGGAGGTGTGCTTCTTGTTAAAGTAACAGGAGTTGGGGCCACTGGTTTTGTAGTCTGGACATTCATAGGTACGTGAATCTCTGCAACAAATTACATATTAGGAGTAAGTAAGAAAGTAGAAAAGGAGTCTAGTTTTTCCTTAATAGATCAATACCACTGGACTTTGGGGATCAGAGCTGAAGAACAGCGCCGCCCAGCTTCTGTGCCCTTCCCATGTCACTGGGAGTGAGACCGGGAAGAGAACGCTGGGGAAGCGGGTGCAGGGCCACCTTAGAGCCTTAATAACTCTGCTTTTCATCAACCCTTCCTTTCTGTAGTTTTCTGTGGGCTCTGTGACATGTGCCTCCTGCCAATGAACACCTAAACTTTCAATAGCCAAGGCATCACCGTAGCTACAGTGCTGTTGTTGGTTCATCCCCAGAAATGGGGACTTTCCCCTGCCCGTAAGTGCTGAGGGGCCATGTACAATGTAGCATTTATTGCACATCTGCGAGGTCTGTCCAGAAGAAGTCCAACCATTGTTAATATAATGAGAACAGTTTGCGTGACATTGATGTAACCTGGCAGCCAAGGAGACTGTATTGGAATGTGCATGCGTGAAAAATGATGACTTCACTGTACTAGTCAGTGGGAGTGGTAGACACCGTTGAGCGAGCATATGTACTGTGTAACCATCACATTCAAAATGACCGGGCGAGTAGAGCAATGAATCTGCATCAAATTTTGCATTAAGCTTGAACATTCCTCCACAGAAACAGTCTGGATGATTCAGAAGGCCACAGCTATGGGAAGCTGGTGATTGGCAGCTTTATCACAACAATGTGGCCACTCATGCATCGTATCTCATGCAGAATTTTTTTCTGAAACATCAATCACCCGGGTGACTCAGCCCTCCTACAGCCCATATTTGGCACCCTGTGACTTCTGTCTTTTCCCAAAACTAAAATCACCTTTAAAAGGGAAGAGATTTCAGACCATGGATGAGATTCAGGAAAATATGACAGGGCAGCTGATAGCGATTGGAAGGACTGTATGAGGTCCCAAAATGACTACTTGGAAGGGGACTGGGGTGTCATTGTCCTATGCCTAAAGTTTGTTGTATCTTGTATCTTCTTCAGTAAATATCTTTATTTTCCATAGTACATGGCTGGATAATTTCTGGACTGACCTCCTCTGTTGAATTACATTTTATTTTTTAAAAGATTATAGAAAATAAAAACTGATGTCTCCATATCTCCAATTGCACTAAGGCAGCAGCAGAGAGATGTGACTGATACTTCAGGCTCAGGTGGCTCATTACATGCTCTCATTAGACTTGCAGGCCTCAGCGCAAGACGCGCCACACAGGTGTGGAAGAGTATTCCCTTTGGGCTGCCAGTTTGAGCTTCTGAAACCCGTGTGCTTGACACCCCGTTGGGTCCAGAAGAGCTGAGAGCTTTGTGTGTAACGAAGTGCAAGCAGGCACAGGGGTGGGCCAGCTATGGTCACCATAAACATTTCTTTCATTGGGGAAAGACACAGCTCTCCCTGGATACCAGGAGGGTCTCTGAAGTGTTAACAAAATCCTCACCCAGAGATGACCTCTTTCAGTCCTCACTGCAACCTTGGCTCCAAATATGCTCTCTGGGAGATCACGGATTAACAGTTTTCTAAGGAAAATCCTCACCTTCCTTTCCTTATAAGGCTCTTTATTTTCTTGGACATGAAACAAGTTTGAAAAGTTAACATATCATGGTTGTCACAGATTACATTATAGTCCTTTTATGTTGCAAAAGCAATTATTACTAAAAAATTATAAATAGCACAAGGGTTATAGATAAACATCTAAAGTTAACTAACACATAGTAGACACTTAGATGTGACCTTGGGCTGCAACCTAAGTTTGGGAGAGGGGATAATTGGGATCATTGCTATGGTGATATGTCCTAAGACCGAAAGTAGATACCTGAAACGGTGAATAATAATGAACCTTACATATAGTATGTATTTGTCCTATACATACATATGTATAAAGTTTAATTTATAGGTTAGACACTAAGAGATTAACACCAATAACTAATATTAAAATAGAACAATGGGAGCAATATACTGTAATGAAAGTTATGTGAATGTGCTCTCTCTTGACTGTACTCAGCCTTCTCTTGTGACAATGTGAGATGACGCAACGCTGATGCGATGAGATGAAGCCAGGGGAGTGACACAGGCGTTGTGACATAGCGTTAGGCTACTATAAGGATGACCTGAACACACAAGCGCTTTGCAGGCACTTAGTCAGTCATTGATCTGATAACCAGCTATTAAGTGACTAGCAGGTGGGTGGCTATTCCGTGTGGATATGCTGAGGGATGACTCACATCCCAGGTGACATGAAGCAGGATAGTGTGAAGTTTCATCACATGACTCAGAATGGCATAGCACTTAAAACCTATGAACTGTTTATTTCTGGAATTTTCCATTTAATATTTTCGGACTGTGGATGATCACAGGCAACTGAAACCACAGAAAGCAGAACCGTGGATAAGGGGGAGCATGGTATGGTGCATTTTGTTGAGGTGGCGGACGGGTTGGTGCACACTGAGAGCACTTCGAGGGCATTACCAGGAGAGGGTGGACATGGACGTTTGAGTCCTTTCCCTCGGAAGTATGAGCCTCGCTAGTGTCAGCCCAGGGAAGTGTGGCAGCCCTAACTCAGGAGTGGTGTTGCTTTGGCCTGGAGAGTGGGCACACTCACCCTTCCTTGTGGTAGGTCAGCGTGTAGTTGGTGGGAAGCCCTCCATTTGGCCCAGGCTTCCACCAGCATGAGAACGTTTCCTTTTCAGTAGAGCGACATTTAGAGATCTCTGGTTTTCCAGGAGGTGACTGTCCTAGAAAAAAACAAAAGCCACTGGAATCAACCTTAAGATCTACTTGATCATTCTGCTGGTGACAAATGCAGATTTATAGGACCACGCCAATGATGAAGTTTTGGGACGAGTAGGCCTAGGGGTGGGGTGCTCAGAAATGCCCAAGTGTTAGTGTCTAGCAACCCTTGTCTGTGGGCAGCCCCAGTATCAGCAGGATGGAGAGAGAGAGAGAGGGAGAGAGAGAGAGAGAGAGAGGGAGAGAGAGAGAGAGAGAGCGAGAGCGAGCGCACATGTGTAAGTTTTGGGGCAGTGGTGGAGGTAGAGTGTGTGTGTGCACGCACGTGCACACGTATGTACTATGAAATGGAGATACCAGCCACCTAGGATCAAGTGACACATTGTAAAGTTTGAGTGAGCGAGTGTCAGGAGTGGGATGGCCGGAGGCGTGCATGCCCTTCTGCAGTCCCGTGGAGTCTATAGGGCTGATACCGCCCACAGCATGAGGGTGACCATAAAACGAATTCTCCCCGGTGCTGATACAATGCTCCCTGGCGCTTCCCGCCAGTTCACATCTTTTTGCCATTTCCACACGATCAACTCAACCTCTGATCTTTTTTGTGTCGCTGTATCACTGCTGCTGCTCTCTCCCCTCTCCCTTATCCTCTCCTTTCCTTCCTTTTCCCTTCCTTTTTCTTGAATTGTTTTCAGCTTTGCCTTGTGACCCAGGGTCACAGTACCTCTCCCCATTTCTGAATCTTGGTTTCTAGTCTCTTTTTCTTTTACACTTCCCCCTCTCTCCTTAAGTCTTTATATGGTGAGGGGCAAAGGGCTTCCTTATAATTCCAGCCTTTTTGGGGGTGGGCAGGAAACGCGGTAAGAAGTCGGGGAGTGGGTTGATAGCTGGCCTCCTGGTTATGAGCTACCATGATTATCTAAGCTCTGCATCCAGTCCCAGCTGGAAGCTGGAAGGTCTAGAAGAGGTGATATGGAAAAAGCAATGTCAAGGGGATGGAGTGTTCGAGTTGCCTCATCCCCGGAGCTGTTGGTGAGCTGGCCCCTCTTCTCCTCCTTATCTGTCAGGTCCAAGGAGGAAATGTGTGTTCCTGAGGGTTTACCCTGATGCTGGGCTGGGAAGCCACACCCCTCCACAGGACCCCAGTGCATCCTCCTTAGCGCTGAGCTGGATGCTTGAGGGCTTCTTATTTCCGGAGCCAGGAACAGAGAGGAGAGTGGTCAGGTGTTGGTCTCAGCAGCCCTGGGGGTTCTCTCTCTTTTCTCTCTCCCTTGTCTCCCCATTTCTCATGCTGGCTCCTGGGCCAGACTTCTTGCTGAGCCACAGATCAGAAAGCTGGGAAGAGGCGGCACTAAGCAACCCTGGTCAGAAAGGATTCAATGACTGGTACGACGCAGCGGTGCAGGCTGAGGACAAGGACACCAGGCTCATCATGTCTGTTGAGCAACATGGCGGCTCCAGGCCTCACAAAACCACTCCCTGCCAGCCAGCCCAGGGCTCGCCCTGGCAATCTTTGTAACCTTGCTGGTCCTCTGGGGAAACCGTCTTTGGGATAATTACACAGGTTGAGGCAAAGGTTTTGTTTTCTTTTGTTTTTTATTAATCATGGCTGGGGAGGAGTGAGTGAAGTAGAAGGAAACGTTGATTTAAGAAAAACCCCAAACCCTATGGCTCGGTAAGGAGCACACTGAGAAGCCTGTGGGGACAACTGTTGACTATCAGAGCACTTAATGTCTCCCTGTGGGTCACACTGATCTCTGCTTTCCTTCTCTGTCTCTGAATGCTTCTCTCTTTCTCATTCCACTGGTTTCAGCAGCACCTCTAGGAAACTCAATGGAGGACAGCAAAGTTGTGACATTACAACTAGATAAATGTTCTTGTCACCCACTTTGGAGGAGACAGTTAAAATTAATGGACTGTCTCACTTATCCCCACAAAGTGCCTGCGGACACATGGACAGCCCCATAGCAACCATGTACACAGGTCCTCAAAGAGCCCACCTACAAAACATACACACACACCCTACACAGAAGTATACTCAGATGCATAGTTAGAGAAGTACACACTGAAATGTGTACATAGAGAGAGGTACACATAGATGGATACTCGCACAGGTACACGCAGAGAAGCATTTGTAATCAGGCACATATGGAGGAGTTACTATACACACAGGTATATCCAAAAGTATACACACCCAGAAATACAAAGAGTAGATACACAGAAATGGGCACACAGCTGCACAGTCCAGTGTGGCTGTGAACTTCATTTCCCCCATTAGCATAGATAATAGAGTTGGCAGTACCAGTTTACCGCCTTCATATCTCCTTACAGTTTTAGATCAAAGACTTTCCACATACATTATTTCATTTGCACTGGAGGCAACATCACTATCTTCCCTTTGAAAACGTGGAAACCCACGAAGATTAGGTTGTTGGCCAGAGTTACTTGGCGAGTGACTGGCAAAATCCGGACTGACACTCTGGCCTTGTGGTCTGCAAAGCTGCTTCACTCACTCCCAGAATGACGATGGGCATCAGGACACAGTGACAAGCTTTTAAATTCCTTGTTTGCATTGATGTTTGCATTAATTTTTAGTGCCAAATATATTGCAAAACAGTCTAATAGCAGTCAATGACACGGACGCCTTCATGTCTCATAACTATACCGCAAGTGGACGGTGAGGGCCTCTCCGCCCCCTCAGTAAACACCCCAGGGAGTTAAAAGGCACAGGACAGTCTCTTACTTACCTTTCAGAAGATCGATGTTGAGAAAAAGTAGCAAAATGGAAATTAACGTGGATGCCACATGTTCCTTCATGTTGGCTCCCTTCTCTTTCTGCAGGCGATCAGAGGTCACTGGAAGAGAAGGCACCAAACAACTTTTTTTGAAATGCCAGTCTGGTCAGGCACATGAGCTACTTTGTTCTGGGCTCTTGCGAAGGATTCTTGCTCCCTGCTTTATGTGAAGGACAGAACAGGAGGGAAGGAATGTAAGAAAATGTAACCTGGTCGGGCGGCTTGGCTCCCAACCGTCGGTGCCCACAGGCTGGGAAAAATTCCACCACCAGAGGTCATCAGATGACAACATTCTAGGGCAACCACGGGGCCGTCGGCTCCCTTCACTTGCACGCCAAAGAAAAATTGTTCTCTTTCATCCAGAAGTCACCTAACAGTATTATCGCCTGTTTGAGGTGACATAGACTCTATGCCCTACCAGAGAAGTGTTCTGGGAGGGCTTTGATCTACCAGCCAAGAGTACACCAGGCTGGAAAGTCGGTACACAGCACAGCTCCTTAGTGCTGCTACGAAGTGAGGGGCTCCTGCTGGAGGTGTAGGCCGAGGTTCCTGGCTACAGTCATGGCCATGGGCTAACTACACAGTGAACCTCAGCAAACCCCCAGGTGGGTTCTCTCTCCCCTTCGGAAAAGCCCCATAAACACGAAATGACAAACCCCAGTAATAATTCAAGTCCTTTGAGTTTGGAGTGTTAAGTAAAATTTGAACTTGCAGAGTTGACAGTTTCGAGCAATTTATTGTTAATATTATTTTTACCCTTGGAACAAGTTTCAAAACCTCTGAATGTTCTTCTAAGAAAAAAGGATTTTTAAGGACCTTTGAAAACGGCTTATCCTAACCCTCAGAAAAACAACAGATTTGATGGATGAAGTGTAAATGTTAGAAGACACATGGCATCCATTTTCTTTGTTTGTTTGTTTGTTTATTTATTTATTTTTTGAGTCAAGGGAAGAACAGCCGGGGGCAAAGCTGCTCATCCTGGGATGTTTGAAGTGACTGAGTGTTATTTGATGAGCCCCAAAAAGACCAGCCTTGGCCCATTCCTCCTGGTCAGTGGGCAGTTCCCCGTTGGCCAGCTGGACACCACCTGACGGCTTCGTGGAGGCTCGGTCCACCTGCGCCTGCTCCCTCTGAGATGCTCTCAGAAATATAAGTCTTAGTGACAAGAGAGGCTTGGAGTACACAGGTGTCATCAAGTGACTCTCTTATATTGGGATCCAGGGAGGCAGCCAGTGTACTGTTTTTTGGGCGGACTTTCTAGTCACTCTTTCAGGACCCCTTCCAAATGCCCTCCCGGACTGCACATGCAAACTCTATCTTCTAAAACCCTCACCTGAGGATGTGAATCATCTAAAGTGGGTGATTTTATAGAGAGGAGAAGGGAGAAAGAGAGAGAGAGAAACATCGATTGGTCACCCACTGTACCACCCAGCCAGGGCCACACGTACATTCTGAACGGCCTGGTCCATCCAGCTCCTCAGGATCATCTATTTAAATCAAATTGTAAAGGACTCACACTGAGTTTAAAATCAGGTCTATTATGTATGGAGCACTTACTGTGGGCAGAACACTGTGCTAAGTACCCAAATTATTTAAATTTCATTCAGCCCGCACAGTAGCCCCACCAGCAGCTCAGGCTATTACCAGCCCCTTTTACCAGATGAGGAAACTGAAGACAGAGCAGATTAGTAAGCTGCCAGTCGCTGGTCACTCGGAGAGCGAAATTTGGCAAGTCTGGAAGGCACAGCTGAGGAATCATCCCGACTGGCAGACCGTGTGTGAGACAATGGAGACAGACCCAAGGTGCGCGGCACACAAGCTGGGGGCGGCGGGCATGGAGTCAGGAGGGCCTGGGCTGGAGAGGCCACCTCGGCTACCGCCCTGCTTGCGCCTGAGCGTCTCAAACACGTGACTGCCACCAATCCAGCCCCTTTTGGTCTGTATAGCTCCAGGAGATTTCTTTGTTCTGAGATCTCAGCCTGGCATGGCAATGGAACTTCTACCCACCGGCTTGAAGGAGTTCTGTATCATTTTATTGGTAGTTCCCTGCTCTTTTGGGCATTGCCTCAAAATGCTTGAGTGACATGCTATACATCGCTCGCTTGGGGTGAGGTCAGATGCGATCCAGGCTTCTCTGCCAAATCAGGGCTCCATTTGTTTTTGTAAAAGAAACGCCTGGTTGGGGAGCGGGGGAGGGGGCAGCGCGAGCCGCTATCGTCAAGCGCCGCTATCGTCACGCGCATACCTTCTGGTGCCCTCATCCAGGCTCCAAGTAATTCTCCTAAATGAAATTTCCCTAGAAAAATGCTTTCAGAAAATATTTTGTGGACTAAACAGAAGCCACTTCCTCTGGGATTTCCCAAAGTATCCTGCAATTTGGCTACCAGCCTTGGGCACCTTCTGAGGCTGTGAAACCCGTGTGTCAGGGAATGAAACATGAGCATGGTGGTGTCTTTATTGTGTTTGAACAATGATTTCCCAGCTCGTCCTGCCCTCTTGCTCCCACAGGACAAAGACAGTTGGGTAAGCAGACCTTCAGAGAGAAAGGGAATCGCAACTGCTCACCCCTAAGGGAGCCATGCTGAGTGCTGACACCAGTCACACCTCCTGGCTTTCCCAGCACTGGGCACACCTTGTGCTGTCACTGGTTTTTACGGCTGACAGACACTAGGCTGGATATAAATTCTGTTTTTGTCCTTCTGAGTCCACTCCCCAACGGCAAGCAGGCTCTTGATCAAGGTTGCTCACTCACCCCAGCTAGGGCTGGAACACCCAAAGAGGACCACAGACTGTTTTTAGGTATGGTTATGGTGGCAAATGGCTTCAAATATTTGGAGTCCAGTTAGGAAAACGTCAGCCCCACACCTCTGCCTGAGGACAGTTATCTTGGCTTCACTCCTCACCAGCTCCCTGGGCGTGACTATGATTTGGAAGGGGGAGATCTGGAACCAAAGAGCAATTCTGTTGCAAGTCAGTGGCCCCCACACCTTGTCTGTGACCAGCTGCCTGACTTCCTCGCTTCTGAATCCTCGAAGACCCTCCCGTCTTTAGGGTCCTCCTATTATACATATATATATATTTTTAAAGATTTTATTTATCTATTTTTAGTGAGAGGGGAAGGGAAGGAGAAAGAGAGGGAGAAAAACATCAACGTGTGGTGCTTCTCATGTGCCCCCAACTGGGGGACGTGGCCCATAACCCAGGCATGTGCCCTGATTGGGAATCGAACCAATAAGCTTTTGGTTTGCAGGCCAGCACTCAATCCACTGAGCCACACCAACTAGGGCACTTTCATTATCTTATTCAAATATGCCTTCCCTCCTGCTATGTCCTACTGTGGTAGGAGCCCCACAGGACCTTCTCCTTCCTTATCAACGCTGAGCCCATTCAGATTGCCTCTTTCTAAAAGCTTCCCTTCATCCCCCTCTTCCATTAAGCCAAGTGTCTTTATCCTGGCCAACAGCCCAGCCGAGAGAGAGATCCGGTACTTATTGCCCAGGTAGCTTGCTGGTCTGAGAAACAAGTGCCCCTCCCCCTGGATGGACAGTTGGGGCCACGGTCCCTTAGCCTGTACTAATGCCACTCTTACAGTAGAAAATATGTGTGTCACAGTAGAGGAGGCAGCACACCCCCCTGAGAGTTCAAAATAACTGATCTAAGATTTCACTGTCTATGAATCTACATATTCCTGTGCACCCAGAACTTCAGCCAATCCTGAACGCCAACCATCTCAGCTCTACCATGTTGTGGGACTTGCTCAGAAGACCTGGTGTCAGGTGATCCCCAAAGCAAGTACAGTCCCTACCTTGCCATGCCTCATTTGCCACTGTTGCCCTAATGTTCTACCCAGATTTTTTAATCATTTCCCCTGACTCTAGAAATGGAGCCAGCATACCAGGCAGGGATTCTGAAGGCCTTCCTTGTTCTTGCAGGTCCAATTCCCATGGACAAGCCTGGCCCAATCCAAGATTTGGATTTCTCTAAAGACTGTCATATATGAGATATGTACAAATCATAAGTACTCTGCTCAAAGAATTATCACAAAGTGAACGTTCTCATGTTACAACCAGGTCAAGAAAGAGAACACTAACCGCACCCTAGAAATCCCCCTCGTGTCTCCTCCCAATGTCCACCCACCCTTTGCCAGTAGAAACCACTCTTCTGACTTCTATCACTGCAGATTCGTTCTGCCAACTTTGGGACTTGATAAAATAGAGTCATACAATATGCATTTTTGAATACATGTGTCTGGGTTCTTTCATTTCAGGTTGTATGAGTCAGCCTTGTTACATGTTGTTTCATAAAATTCATTTTCACTTCATCTTCATTCATATCACACTGAATAAAAGACCACAGCTTTATTTATCCACCCCTCTCCTGATGGACATTTGCCAGTTTCAGGCAGACTTTGGATTTTGCTAAAGCTGATCAAGGCTCCGATGGTCGGGAAGCTCTGCTCCGCCGCCCCCCCCCCCCCCGCCCCGCCATAGCCACATTGTAGATCTCCCCTCGGATATCTGCTGAATAGCTAGGGTGGTGCCTGTCTTCGCTCCTGATTATCAATCCAAGCTAAGTTTCAAATGCTTTTCTTGCCCTAAACATGCAAATTTCTCATTTCTTGCAAATTTCACATACATTCACCCATTGTTTTAGATGTTAGAAAATATATTAGTGCTTTCTTTGGGGTCTGCCGAGTTGGGGTCCCCTGCCCCCTGGGTCGCCTTACCTGGTGCTCCACCTGGGTTAGATGGCCAGAGGCCGGAGGCTGGTTAGAGGCCGGAGAACCCTACGTGCACCCAGACATGTCTTTCCAATACGGAATGCCAACATTTAGTCTGGGAAACAGAGGGCATAATCCACTTGGTGTGGGGTGAGAAGGAACAGGGATTAGTGATTTTATGCTAGGGAATAAGACGAAGGCTGCGATATGAACTCTGTCCAAAGTCAATAGCCAGTGACTGCAGAATGCATAAGTGAGTCAGTGAAGCCTAAAAGGTGAAAAGGCAGAACAAGATCCTGAGAGACAGGATGCAACCCTGCACACAGGGATGCATCCTAAG